ACCAACCTGGTGACACTGGTAGCAAATCCTCATATCCTGAACCGGGGCTGACTGATGACAATTCCTCGCGTAATGCCCCTCCCTCCCGCACTTGCGGCACGCACCACCGGACCTACAAACTCCTGTGTGACCCTTCCCACACCTCCCACAAGTGTGGCTAACATGACCTCCCAACCTGGAATCAACGGTCTTGGACCGTTTCGGCGCCGGCTGCGACTGCACCGGGGCCTGCCTCTGCTCTCGCAACTGTAACTCAATCTCCAACTCACGCCGCCGAGCGGCCTCCTGCAACTCCAGCAAGGTCTCGCACCTCTGCGTAGACACAAACTGCCTGATATCCCTCTTCAGCATACTCAGATATCGGGACATCTGAGCCTGCTCCGAAGCAAACTCAGGGCAAAACATCGCCCTCTCAGTGAACATCCTGGTGATCTCCGTCACCGTCTCTGAATCCTGCTTCAGCTCCAGGAACTCCTGAGCCAACCTCTCTCTCTCAACCTGCGGAACATAACGGGTACTGAACATCTCCCGGAACTGATCCCAAGTCACCGCAGCCCGCTGCGCGTCAGAATAAGATCCCGTAGTCAACCTCCACCAATCCTTCGCTCCGAGCCTCAAAAGGTTCAGAGCACACCTCACCCTCTGGTCAGGGCATGAACACGTGAAGAAACATCCCTCCACGTCTGACAACCATCTCATAGCAACGATCGGATCCTGAACTCCATCGAAAGTAGGGGGCTTCGTATTATCGAAGTCCCGATACTGAAAGCCTCGACCGGCTCCTCCCCCTGCCGCTGCTACAGCCGCTGTAGCTGCCGCGGCAGCTGTCTCCGCAAGAGCTGCATAACTCTCATCAAAGTACTCAACCATGGCGGTCTTGATCGATCCAAACATCTCCGGCAACTCGGCTCGGAACATAGCAGCAACCTCATCATGCAGGATCTCACGAATCCTGGCATCCAGCTCGTCCGTACTCATCTGACCGATGACCTCTGGTGGCACGAAGCCCTACACTTCTATCAACATACCCCGGTCCGAAACCTTCTCGAATAAACCCCATTGCCCATAAAGACCGAAACGCCCTTACTCTTGATCCCGGGGATTCATAAATAAGTACTTTTCGAACGGGGCGTTACATTAATTATGTATGTTTTGAGTTAAAAGTAACTATATAATTATGGGGCTCTTCAATACGTTTATGTGCATATAAAGAACGCCGAAAACAGAGTTGAAACGATGAAGTTATGGTTGTTTGAAGTTAAGATGGAAATAGGGAGTCTGGCAGTACGCTGAGCGTACTAGGCTGAAGACACGCGTTTTAAGGCATTACACTGGGTGTACCGCCGCTGAGTAAAAACCCTATTTTCATGGTTTTGAGCCCTATTTATGGTCTCTAACCCTTTGGGGGTCCTTCCTAACATCAGCCTCTTCCTTCTTAACTCGAAACCATAGCCTCCTATCACTTATTTTGAGCCTTGACATCATTTATGAGCTTATTTCTCCGTTAAAGGTGGAATCTTGAAGAACAAGGTGGTGGCAAAGTGTATAGAAGAAAAATTCAAGCATAGATCCAGCAAGATTACATCATTTATGGACCTTTGTGAGTAAAAAGCTTCTATCTTGCTCACTAGTTTCATAGATCTTGTTAATCTTCATATTTTCACTTTTTGGTCACTTTAGTGCATAATGTTTAGATCTTGAAAGTTTGTGACCTTGTTATGGATAAAGTTGGAGACTTTATCCATCTAAACATCATATTGATTCAGATCTGAAGGTTGGAGACTTGGACTTAATATATTAAGTTGAGAAAGATGCATTTTTTGTCCCTTTGAGACTTAAAGACTAGATCTTGGTTGTTTGGACCGTCCTAATGGATAAAGTTGGAAACTTTATCCATTATGTAGCTATTAAGAACCATAAAAATGAGATCTTGGTCCTTATATCCCTTCCATGCAAGAGTCATGATGTCTTAATGGATTATTAAGTTAAGGTTTTAGCTTTTGGGCTTTTTCTATCCATGGAAAGTTATAAAGGTGGAAACTTTATGACTTAGAATGATGTTATGGGCCTAGATATGAGTTTGGATGAGAGGAATTAAGAGAATAAGCACTTAATGGGAAGCTTGTTCTCTGGCCGAGTACGTTGGGCGTACTTCTGAGTACGCCGTGCGTATTCAATTGGAGTCCCGTTTCTGGATCGTGAGTATGCCATGCGTACATGCTGAGTATATAGGGCGTACTCAGTCTAAAGTTTGACTTCTTTGACTTTTTGACCTTTAAATTTGACCAGGATTTTGACAAAGTTTGATCTAGGGGTATTTTGGGTATTTTGAGTAGTAGTTTGAGACTAGGTCATTGTTTGTCATATAGGTGACCTGTAAAGTTAGCAGTTTGAGTTGTGATCTGTTTCGGCTATCTTTTCGGACTGTGAGGTGAGTCTTCCTCACAGTACTTGTGGGTCGAAGGCACCAAGGTCGGTCCAATGGATTTATTATCTTGATATATTGGATTGTTGTTATTCTGAGTATGCGTTGGATTGGTAGATCTGTATGATTAACTGTGTTCACTGAGTATGCGTTAGTCTTGTTTTGTGCTGAAGGAGAAAATACCCGGGGTGGTCTAGATAGACTGTAGGCCCTACGAGGCGGTCCATTCAGGCCGATGGCCCGGAGAGTGGTCCGGATAGGTTGTAGGCCCTACGAGACGGTCCAGTCAGGCCGAAGGCTTGAAGAGCGGTACATATATGATGTAGGCCCTGCGAGGCGGTCCAGTCAGGCTGAAGGCTCATATATGCATGCTGTTATTATTGCTTGTGTGTGATACTTTGGGGGAACTCACTAAGCTTTGGCTAACAGTTTGATTGTTATGGTTTCAGGTACTTCTAAGTCAGGGGCAAGGCGAAGCCTTGATCGTGCACATCCTTCGGATTTTATGAAATTTGATTTTGGGATACTCTGATTCACGATTATAACTTTTGGAAACTATGTTTTGTAAAACATTTATGGTTTTTGGTTTGGTTTTAAAAATAAAATTTTTACCTTGATTTTTGAGATGTTACACGCGGCCCAATGCCAGGTGGGCCCTGATGAATGTGATGGACGGGGCCAATCGCATGTTACTGACAGATCTGTATCGGGTAGGGATGAGTTATAAAACCGGAAAACCGGACCGGAACCGGAATCGGACCGGAACCGGAACCGGTATAACCAGAAAATGCTTAAACGGTCCGGGTATTGGGTTAAAAATTAGTCTTATCCGGGTTCCGGGTATTCCGGTTACGGGTCCAACGGGTCCGGGTATTCCGGGTTTTAGAACCGGATTTGTAAAAACAACCGGAACCGTGTTTAATGGAACGGAACCGGTTTAGTGGGCCAATAAACCTGAAATTGAAGGGTTATCAAAAATAAATGTGCCTACTGATTCACTTAGCTCTAAACTGAAAATTTTATTTTCTCTACTCGACGACAAGAGCTACTCACAAAAAATTATCCTCATCTCCTGTGATCGAGGTCCCAATACTATAAATAAATATTCTGAGTTCTAACTTGCTCAAGACAGAATATGTCAGAATTCAAGATTAAGAAAATTAGATTTTACAAAAGGTTTGTTAAACCTAAAGTTACACTAAGTCATAAAAGAGTTGTCAATATTTGGTTAATAGCCACAAAAATAGTTTCCCAAATTATAGATATGTCTCCAGTTGTTTGCGGCACCTAAGATATGTCAGAAAATAACTCCGCAAAGATTTCTTTCACTTGAACAAAAGATTATTTCATGATACATTAAAAAATTGGTCATTTGATGATAAAACACCTAAAATCTAGGTCATTTAAGTGATTATATCTTTTTAAACATTGTGTTTTAGCTTTCAAGACAAACAATTGAAGTTGTAAAAACACAACTAAACACGAACATACACCAACTTATATAAAAAATAAATTCGTAAATGGTTAAGATTTAGTTCTGTGATAAAATCATAAAAGAGATAAAAACAATTACCGCTAAAACCCAGAAATATAAAGCAACAAACGACTAAAATATATTTTACTTATTTCCATCAAGTTAAGTATCGTAATACAACAACAAAATTATTATAAAAGTTTGATTATTATAGTCATAATATCGTCCATTTCCGAGTTTCCGTTTCCATTTCCGGGTTTCCGGTTATTTTCGAGTCTAATACACGAATCCGGTTCTAATTATTAATTTTCGGTTCCAACAGGTTCCATACCCACTATACCCGGTTTGATAACAGGAACCGAACCGGAACTGGTTACCTTATACCGGTCCGGTTCTCGGTTCTTATAATCCGTCAATTCCGGGTTCCGGGTAAACCGGTCCGGTTTTAGACCCACTTTCATCCTTAGTATCGGGCGGGGCCCGATAGATGTCGGGCGGGATCCGTTGTATGTATGATATGTGATATTTTGGGGAACTCACTAAGTTTGTGTGCTTACAGTTTATGTTTATCGTTTCTAGTATCTCTGGTTCGAAGGGGAATGGTCCGACATGATCGCACAACATCCACTAGTGTTCCGCATTTTATGATTTTGATTGTATTCTGATAACTATTTTCTACATTGTCAAACTTGATTGGTTTTGAAATGGATGAATGACGGTTTGGTTGATTTTAAAAACAAAATTTTTACTTAGTATTTTTAGATTGTTACATAAAAAGTTTGACTTGGCTTTAAGGCTTGTATATGCAGCCAAACTTTAACAAAATGTCGTCTTAAGTCATATAAGTATATTAAAATAAATAATAATGGAAAATACATATAAAAATATTAGCTATATACAAAATTGTTGTCTTTAATTACGTTTTACAAACGACGTGACTTGCAAATACACGTAAAAGCTTGAGGTTTGATGTTATCATCAAAGTCATACCTTACGTTATTTAGAAGTTTGCTTAAAATATTTTGTTTCAAAAGATAATGTTTTTTTTTTTAAATATACAGTATAAATATTTTTATATTATTTTTATTATTATTATTTGTATATTAAATCCAGGGTAAGAATCCCTTCAAACGAAATCTTCCTTTCTTCATCGTGGATAAGATAGACTCCTTTTGCAGAGCTTCAAGAAACGAGACGGTGTGTCCACAATGGCCGCAGCAGCAGCTCAGTGTATCTACCTCTCTTGTAGGTTTCAATCCATCTCTCTTTCTTCTTCTTCCCGGCCTTCCGCCACCGCATTTAAGCCTCTCAGTTCCTCCGCCAACGTTTCACATAACGCCTTCTCGACTGGTATATCCTCCTTATCTACGATTCCTATCCATTTTACTGCATTTATCTGTCTCAATTTGGGTACAGAAAAAGAACCCTCAATTAGTTTTTCGATTACATAAGTGAAATGATTGAATTTACAGGGTTAGTGTCTGTAAACCCTATTCTCGGAAGGCAAGCCGGTCGGTCACTTACAATTGTGTGTGAAGCTGCGGGGCAGAAGGCCGATTCTGCAGCGAAGCGAGCTCGGCAAGCTGAAAAGAGACGCCTTTACAATAAATCTCGCAAATCTGAGATTAGAACTCGAATGAAAAAGGTATTTTATTCTCAAATCAGTTTAAATATCGACACGATCTTCAAAATCAATTCGATTGGTGTGTAGTTTTGATATCTTTTGTATAAACTTACGGCGGCGCCCACCAGGTTTTGGAGGAGTTGGAAGTGTTAAGAAAGAAGGCCGATGCACAACCTGAGGAAGTTCTCGGGGTCGAGAAATTGATTGCAGAGGCTTATTCAGTGATTGACAAGGCGGTGCAGGTTGGAACCCTGCACCGGAACACAGGAGCCAGGCGGAAGTCCCGCCTTGCCAGAAGAAAGAAGGCGGTGGAGATTCACCATGGGTGGTATGCACCTGAACCTACAGCTGCATCCACTGTTTGATACCATTTCCATCTGGCATCTATGCTATTGTAGATTGTGTATTTGCAGAATTTTTTGAGCAGAAGAATTTGTGTTCATTGTTCGGTGATTTCTTTTTTTGCTTTAGCAATCTCTACGTATATTTGATGGTGAATTGGTGGTTGCTATTAAAACCTAATCTGCTTTCTGCCTTGTTCTTATGAAAGGCAAACTGTATGCTATCAAATTATATTTTAGGGACATAATTTTAATACAAGTTTATAATCATATAAATGATCTGATTACAAAAAGTCAAACTTTCAATGTTTCAAATGCATTTCTTTTTATTGAAGGGTTATTAATAATGGGTAGTGTTATCCACATAGCTCATTTCAAGTTAGGTCGGTGTTTGGTGTTCTCTCATTCCTTGAGGGTGAGAGTTGAAGTCCCGTATAAAAAAACATCTTTGTCGAAAAAAAATTCTTCCAATAATTATTTGTGGTATATTTTGCTTTAAGAGACCATTTATGTATTTTTGTGATGTATTAATGTCAAAAATTGGACATCTATCACGACCCGAATAATTTCATTAACGTAAGATTCTTCTTGATTATCACCATTATCGCCAACTTTCTTGAGGGATATAAAGGCCAAAAATTATCAAAGATTATCATCGGGTCATACTTCTAATAGTTTTATGCATTTGAAGAACGAAACGATGATCAAGTATAGTTTGTTGTAGGCTAAATTAAATCATTCAGTATTACTTGTGTCGCCGTGGGTAATCCTTGCTAGGCCTGACCAAATACCTAAACGAGCTGGGCTAAGGCCCAGGGCAACAAATATGAGGAGGAATCAGTTTAGCCAAATTATCTATAATACATATTTTCCTTTTGGCCAAAAGAAAATCCCTGTGATTTAGCCCGATATATGAATATGATTTTTGTTGTTGAAGATAGGTGTGAACACGAATTAGCCGAAGACTTGGGACCGCTGTAATCGCCAATCCTAATGGACGGCTAAAAAAACAAAGGAAAACTGCAAAAACAAAAAAAAAAAAAACAAAAAACAAAAAACAAAAAAAAATCTATATTTTGGCTCTATTAACAAAAACTTATCACTTTTTTTTTAGTTACAGTTTAACCATTGAAATCGATAGATACTTGTAAAATAACATTGTAACCAATTATTGCCGGTTTTAAGGGTTAAATTGCAAACAAAAATATCATGGGTGATTTTTTTGTTAATTAGATTAAAGTTTAAGGAATTTTCTAGAGATTTTTTTATATATACTAAATTTGTTTATTAAAAAACGGAAAATAAAGATAATATTTTTTTATTAAAAACAAAATAATGATAATTTATATGTCATTTTTGGATTTTTTTTGTGATTCTATTTAATAAATATTATTACTACAATCATAAATATACAATTTATATCCTATATAACTTAAGAGGACTTTGTTAATTTGTCACAAGAAGTGCATTTCTATGCCAAATGCTACTTCATTCTTGAATTTTTAGGTACCGGGTGTAAAATGTTTACCATAAAACTATCATTTGCTGAAGATCCTTTCACAATCAAACGACACCTCATAAAATAAATGATTTTATGGCAATGGTGACCTACTAAGAGGGTGCAAAACCTGATAAAAGGTTAGAGTATTTTTTTAAAAAAATATGAGGCATTAATGAACACAAAAACGAACTTTTATTGATTTGTCGTAAGAGGTGTGTTTCTAGGTCATATAGTGTGTATAATGAAGCTCTATTTAGGAATAAAAACCACTGATAAACCTTTATTTTCTAAGGTGTCATTCGATTGTGAAATGATATTCAGTAAGTGGTAGTTTTATAATAAACTTTCCACACCCAAGACCTAAAAATTCAACAACGAAGTAACATTTTGCCTAGAAATGCACTTTTTGCGACAAATCAACAGGGCCCTCTTAAGTTATATAGGATATAGATGGTATCTTTAGGATTGTCGTAATGATATTTATTAAAAAGAATCACAAAAAATTTCAAAAATAACATATAAATTATTAGTATTGTGTTTCTTAATATAAAAATTATCTTTATTTTGTGTTTTTTAATATATATATATATATATATATATATATATATATAAAAAGTTTTCTTCAAATAAATTTAGTATGTATAAAAAATAAAATCTCCAGAAAAGTCCATAAACTTTAATCTTATTAAGGAAAAAGTCATCAACGATTTTTCGATTGCAATTTAACCCTAAAAACTGGCACTAACCGGTTACAAAGGTTATTTTGCAAGTGTTTACTTTTGACATCCCAAAATATAGGTCTAAAACTATAGACAATAAATTTACTGCGAATTTCTTTGTAACATGACCTATTGAGCTTTAATGCATATTTTGAAAAATAAATAATGTCATTACAATTAGAATAAGATATTAGATGATATCTTACTTTTAGTTGTGGAAAATCTCAAACGAATTACAAAGCACAAACTGCAACTTTAGTTAATACGACTGAAAAACTGAAATTTCGTATTAAGCAGTTGTGAACAAAGAAAACACTCTTGTCTCGTAGTACATGTTCACATGTTTCCAAAAATATAAAGAATGTCAAAAGCGGAGTTCGTATGCAAAATGTACGACGGTTATAAGAAACCAAACCAGTATAATACTGATTTTCTTAAACTACATAAATCGTTTAGATTCGTTGAGGCACTTGCACACCTCAGATGGAAATTTCGAGAACGTTTTTGGACTCAGGTTATGGTCTATTATTTAATTCCATACTCGAAATATTTTTAGTAAAAATATTTTCAAAAGTCGAAAAATCGAACGTTTCGGGTCAATTAGACGCGAATCTTTAAATGCAATTTCCCGGAGTTCTACAACTCGAAAAATTAATCCGTTTGGGTTTTTGGAATCCTTGATCTCGACTCTATCATTCTCCACTTTCAAAAAAATATTAGATGTCAGGATTTTGGCACACAAATCTAAGAGGGTTTTAGGGCATTTTTGGGATTGATGGCATCATCACCTTGCATGAGAAGCAAAGGAAATCAACCATGGACTCCCTCCCCCCTTGCCTACGTGTGCAACCCTCTCTCCCTTCCCTCACGTTACCTTCTTGTGTACACTCTTCTTCCAAAGAACAAAGCATGACCTCTTATGTGTTTGACTAGTTTTTCAAAGCATGGCATGCATGGACATGTGAGGCTTGCTAGACGCTATAAAAAGGAGCTTTGGTTTCTCATTTTCCATCACAATTCACAACCACAAGCACTCTCAACCTCTCTCTCACCCTCTTGCTCTTTCTATTGGATAGAACTCCCCATCGGAGTAGCCCCTTTAACTACCGGTAAACCAACAACCTCCACCCCTGTTTTGTTTAGCAACCACCCCCACACACCCCGTGCCACCTGCTTCCACCTTCCCCCTCTCCCCCTTCGTCGTAGCTGATGGGTTTTGAGCAAAAGAACATCCTATGTGCACATGCAAAACCCTAAAGCTTTGGATCTAGGTTTCTCTATTGTACATGCAAATTTATCCAAAGCTTGCAAACCCTAATCTAGCATACTATGAAAAACGAGATCTATAATAAAACAAGTTTAGATGATACCTTTCAATAGTTGCAAGAATCTTCAATCTTCAAGAGCTTAGTATCACAAGTGTAGTACCTCTAATGGCTTACAAGCACCAAAGCAAGAAGATGATCTAGAAGAGAGGGAGGAGGAGGCACAATTTCGGCTATAGTAACTCTAGGGTTTTTCAAGTGTCCGAAATTTGTAGCCCTAGGGGTTCCTTAAATAGCTGAGCTCCTAGGGTTTCAGTCAAAACCCTAATTGGATAACTTATGCCCTAAGCAGCTTCAAGAACCTTCTGGAATAAGGCCCCTTGGACGAAATTAGAGTGGGCTTCCACTCTAGATTTCGTCCCCCCTTATTTCCATAAGGATTCACAGCCCAAAATCAATTATCTTATAATTGACAGTTCCAGTCCCCCTTATTTAATTAATTTCTTTTAGCTACAAAATTAATTCTCAAATAATTCATGACCAATATTAATTAAACTATATGATTTCTCTTTTAATATATTATTCATATAATATATTAATAAACCATAATAACATCTCTCTATCTCTCTCTCCATAAATCATCCTGTCCAGTTGCTTCGGTGAAGGCAACCCAAAAAGGACCATGCACAACCGGGTCAAGTACATACCAAATATAGTTACGGGATTAGACACTAATCCAACAGTCTCCCACTTGGATAAGTCTAGTAACTATAAATGCAAGTACACCTTTAGGATCCGATTAGCAATCGTAGCTCTCAAAGACGTTGTCGAACTCTGATCTTATTAGTAACTTGTCCTTTAGATAAGGGATCGTATAATCCTCCGTTATAGATATCGTGCAGACAAATACATGGAACATAGTCATACTTATTGTCCAGCAGTTTGTTTCTCGATCTCTGATTCGTCTGACATAGAACTTAATTGAACACATAAATTCAGTCCTGACCGGGCCCGACACATAAGTCAAACCAAATCATCGAGGGGCCAAGATATCGCTTTTACCCTCTTAGGATAAAAGGAACATATAAACTTCGACTTATATGCATTTACTATTCACTCATCAAATCATGCACAATAATGCGTTTTTATAACATCAAGTTACTGATGCGTTTACGCATTATCAATACACAACCAACTTGCAAACAATAAACCATATATCTAGGTTTAAAGACTATATGATATTATCGTCTTGCGATCACTCGTGATAAATTCCATGAAGCGATACCAGCAAGCGTGGGTTTATTCCAATGCTCAAATCTTAGTTCATAAGCACTCATGAACGTTGTAGCAAACTTTTTCTATGCCTAATACACTTTAGACAGTCTACAAACCAATTCATGATAGTCTTCTTTCATACCTACTTCCAAAGTATGAGCGACTGTGGACTGTTCGAATAATCGTATTATTCAGGAAGTCAAAACATGCAAAGTGAAACAATAGGTAAATGATTAACAAAAGACAGTAACTTTACTTATAAATAATACACCTTTATTTAATCATCAAATGTTAATTACAATTTATCTATTACACGTTTCGAAGCTATCTAATCTAAACTAATATCGTCCTTCAGCCCAATGCTCCTAGCGTGCTGCAAGTGCTTATCCCTACTCAGTCCCTTCGTAAGAAAGATCTGCTAGGTTATCCTCTGACGATACCCTCTTCACTACGAGGAGTCCCTCTTCCACCCGATGTCTAATAAAGTGATATTTCGTGTCGATATGTCGAGATCTGCCATGATCC